GAGTTTGTTTTAGTCTGGAAGCTCCGCTGAAGCCTGTTCAGCATCACGGAAACACGTGAGCCTCCACTGACAGGAAGGCGGTGGCTGTGCATGAGGTGCAGTGGCCAGATGGAACCCGGGCCTCCCAAACGGAAGGCGAGAATTCTATCAATGAACTGCCAATGCCGAGCTCTATTTCTACGAGGGAGTAAAACAAAAAAGAGGCAGGCATGGGGTGTGGAAACAAAAAGATCATAGCAATTCTCAAGGGGGCAAAAAAAAGAGAGAGAGAACCCAGGATAAAAGCTGTGTATAAGACAGAGAGAGAGAGAACCCAGGATAAGAGCTGTGTTTAAGACAGAGAGAACCCAGGATAAGAGCTGTGTATAAGAGAGAGAGAGAGAGAACCCAGGATAAGAGCTGTGTTTAAGACAGAGAGAACCCAGGATAAGAGCCGTGTATAAGACAGACAGAGAGAGAGAACCCAGGATAAGAGCTGTGTATAAGACACAGAGAGAACCCAGGATAAGAGCTATGTGTGAGACAGAGAGAGAGAGAACCCAGGATAAGAGCTGTGTATACAACAGAGAGAGAACCCAGGATAAGAGCTGTGTATACGACAGAGAGAGAGAACCCAGGATAAGAGCTGTCTATCAGACAGAGAGAGAGAGAACCCAGGATAAGAGCTGTGTATAAGACAGAGAGAGAGAGAACCCAGGATAAGAGCTGTGTAAGACAGAGAGAGAGAGAACCCAGGATTAGAGCTGTGTGTAAGACAGAGAGAGAACCCAGCATAAGAGCTGTGTATAAGGCAGAGAGAGAACCCAGGATAAGAGCTGTGTATAAGACAAAGAGAGTAACCCGTTCAGATCTGACTCAAGTCCTATTGAAGGCTGTCTTCAATATGATGGCTTCTGCTGCTGTACCATTTTTAACCTGACAACGACTGGGTGAGCTTGGCCTAGACTATCTGTACTTGGGTTGTGGATGAAGTTCTTACTCTTTCCTTCAAGCCCTACTCCCTGGGTCATTGGAGGACACATAAGGATTCTGCTTTGATCTACTTCTGAGAGCTGGAGGATGGCCATAGTGAGATTAAATGCAGAAAAGCCTAAACAGCCCACCCCCCCAGACCAGGCAGATATCCAATTCTAGTAGCTGGCACACCTTTCAAAATGCACTAACTGTGGCTAACCCTCTTTCCCAAGATTCACTCGATGACTCCCTCATGTAAATTCTCAGAGTGGTCTCTGAAGCCACACTATGACCCAGTGCCCCTTCTCAGGTTATCTCCTGAGACACCTCATTGAACAGTGGCAATACTGCCTTTTCTGAATACAGCTAGGTTTCTTCAAGCTATCTTGTTTTTAATCACATTCCATACTCGTATGTATACATCTGATAAAATTGTTTTATTAAAAATATCAAGTAGGAATGAAAGAATAGTTCAGTTATTAGAAAATCAATGTTATTCACATCAATGTGACTAAATGTGCAAAATCAAAAGATCTAAACAACTGTAGATTTAAATTAGCAATAAAAGCAAATGTCTTGATAAAAACTAACTACTGAAAAACTTAACAGCAAACATCACATTTAACAGGGAAAACTTTTGATGCAGAAAGAAGATATCTGTATCATAGCTACTATTAAATATAGACAGATGGCCTTGCCAATGCAATAAAAAGAATGAGGTACAAGGACTGAAAAGCAACAGTTAACGATGTCATTATTTGCATTGACAGGATCACTGCTGTAGACAACCTAAGAGAATCAGTAATGTTATAACTAAGCAATCATCAAAGCTGCAACTGTAAGGTCAGCATACCAAATTCAATGTATTTCTCTGAACCGGAAATAATGATACCATTTTTAATGGTAACAAAAACTGTGAAGAACCTAGGGGTTAGCCAAAAAAAATACACACGATGTCCTGAATAAATGAAGAGAAAAATGAAGTTCATGCATGGGACGGTGTGACCTTGCAAATATGTGAACTGCCTCTAAATTAATCTATAAATTCAACACAATTCCGATCAAAATTTCAGCAGCTTGCTTTAGGCAATGTGGTAAATTAATACTAGATTTTATACAGAAGAAAAAAATCTACAAATAGCCAATTTTAGCAAGGTGGACAAAGGAGGGGTCATTCACCTATCACAGTTAAGACATATGACAAAGTTATAATGATAAAAAGCATTGTACTGAGAAGGGAACTGACATGTATCAATGGAATAAAACAGAGGGCCCAATTTCATGTTTATGGGAACTTGGTGTATAATGAAATGGAGGAAATATGGACTGTTCAGTAGATGCTGTCAGGAACACTGACGGTGGTGTATAAGGAAATGGAGGAAATATGGACTGTTCAGTAGATGCCGTTAGGAACACTGACGGTGATGTATAAGGAAATGGGGAAATATGGACTGTTCAGTAGACGCTGTTAGAACACTGACGGTGATGTATAAGGAAATGGGGAGAATACGGACTGTTCAGTAGATGCCGTTAGGAACACTGACGGTGGTGTATAATGAAATGGGGAGAATATGGACTGTTCAGTAGATGCTGTTAGGAACACTGACGGTGGTGTATAAGGAAATGGAGGAGATATGGACTGTTCAGTAGATGCTGTTAGGAACACTGACGGTGGTGTATAAGGAAACGGGGAAATACGGACCGTTTGGTAGATGCTGTTAGAAACACTGACTGCAACCCTACCCTGCATGACCAGCAGACGTTCACATTCACAAGACCGAAAAGGCCATAACTTGGCACCAAGGTCACTTAGCTTGGCAGAGGGCATAGCACAGTAAACCTGGCACAGAGAGAGTCTTCCTTAGTAAGTCTCCTATGCCACTGGAACAAGTATCTTGTGACAACTCATGTAGTAGGGTGCCAGTCCCTGCAACAAGGAACAAGCTCAGTTACTAAAAGTCGTACCTTACTCAGAGGCATCTCAAATGCTATGCTTTTTCTTTTACTATTAAAAAAAAAAAAAAAAGTGTTGCCTGGTAAACAGCTGACATTTTACATTTATCTTAACCTACTAGATCTCCAAGCACAAGGTAAACCTAGTATCATTTTTCCCAAAGAGAGAGAGAAGGGCTTATTAACCTTTTCCCCCTTGTGACTAGACAGAAAAAATAAAGTTGCACTCATACTCCATTCTATATCCAAAAATTAACGTCATTAAAGACCTAACTGTAAATGGTATAACATAACTGACAGAAGAACAAGATCTAAAAAGCACAAACAATTAGGGAGAAAATTAAAAGATTTCTATTCCTTGAAGGACACCAAAGGCAGGAATTAACGTATGACAAGATTAAGGTATTTCCAATATCTGAATCTGACCAAAGGAATAATATGTAGGATATATAAAAAATTTCTTGTACTGTAATCAGCAAGAAAGAGAAAAACTCAATAGAATAATGAGAAAATTACAAGTAGAATGAAAAACCAAAATGACTGAAATGCATATACGTAACCTCATTAGTAATCAGATAATGTAAATTAAGACAAAATACAATTTCACACACGTCAGATTAGCAAAAATCAGAGTGTCAAGCTCTGGTGCGGCTGAAGACGGAAAGAAAGCAAAACCATCAGGACTTGCCGGCAGAAGTGTGAACTGGTACGATCACTCCTGAGAACAATCCAGCAGTACTTACGTAAATTAAATATACATACATCCCACACCTTAGGCATTCTACTCTAGGGCATATATGCCATGGAAACTACAGGACAGATTCACAGGAAGACAGGTATAAATCTGTGGAGGTGGGAACAACCTAAGTACCTGCGACCAGAGGAAACGATAAGCTATGGTACGTGAACGCAATGGGATAACACGCACCAGTCAGAAGCATGTTATACACAGTAACGTGAACAGGTCTTGAAAACCTTATTTTATGAAAGTTAGAAGCAGAAGGAGACTTACACGAAAGTATCATTTACGTGAAATTTTAAAGCTTACATAAATATGTACTTCAAGAAAATATATCCAAAATATGGAAGATGGCTTAGAAGAACAAACATTGAATACAGTAGGGAATGAAATCACGGGCAGAAGATCAAGAAAAACTCTTCTGTTAACAAAAAACAGAAGTGTAGCTTTTTTTAGACCAGTGATATTGGAAATATTAATGAAGAGGCTGATCAATGACTGACTCAATTCTGAGCACCCAAGGTCCTTAAAACACAAAACAAAGCACTTTTTTTTTTTTACATGAGCAGAAACATTAAAATTTAAGTTAGATTACTTAAATAGAACAATATTTTTCAAAAGGTGAAAAACTATTCATGTGGCATAATACAGGAAGCACCCCAGAGGATTCATGAGTTGGTTGACCTTAAAAGAAATAGTTCATTCTGCTAAATAAAAATCTATATAGTATGAAAGAACATTTCAAGGCAACACTGAAAAAAAAATTTTTTTTTTATCTTGCACAAATACCCCACTGCGTTTTTCTAAGTTAGGCTGTTCTGTCACTCAGCAAAAAATAATTTTTAAATTACATTTTGGGCAAAATTATAATCACAACTGAACTAATCCTAATTTTTAATTAAATATGTGAATCTGAAACTCTATACTGATATAATACTTTGTGACATTTTTACAGTAGGTAAGACATTTAAGTACACATGGAAAATTTTACAAAATATACAATTGCCATAACATCTTACTTTTGGTTATGCTTTATATTTCTAAAAAACACTCTCATGTGAGGCAGATGTAAGCAGTTATCCTCACTGTTGCCAACGAGGAAACTGAAAAGTGAATAACGGGACTGAAATCTTATAGTAAGTGGTGGTGTTTTGTCTGGACTGGAATCTAGCTCTTACAAAACCTACATCTGAGGTCTTGCTTTTATTTAACCCCCCCGCCCCAGGTAGTTTTTATATAAATGTAAATCTAGTATTTTTCTTTAGTCATAAAAGGTACAGACACACTGGTTTGCAGTACATATACACAATGATATGAAGAAAAATACAGATTTGTTACATTAATTCCAATCCTGTAAAATAGTTATAACAGTTTATCTTCAAAAAATGTCAATGAAGTTTAATTTATTTTTATTTGTCCTGTAAAAGTAACTTCACAATCTATTAGAAATAAATTTTAACTTCAATTTCTGTTCCTTCTTCCATTAATGAAGCACAAGATAAAGGACAGCTGTAATCAATAAATGTATGAGATGCTGATAGACCAAATCAAGTACCTAAATAAAATGCTGAAGCATAAAAATTTATAGCCAGCTTACTTTTTCCTTTTTAAACTGATAAAATACAATCAGTAAAATTAAGAAAATGAAACCTGTTTTTTTACTGTAAGTTATGATTAATTGAAGATCTTTTAGTTTCAGGATTTCTGTAAAGTAGCACTCTTTAAGTAAGTTCCTAAAAATGACAACATTGGAGCCTTGGACATTACATTTCACCTCGTTTTAAAAAATTATACTAAAACTGTCATGATAAGAAATGGTTACAAAATTTCTGTTTATTCCAGTCCTAAATTCCTTTTATCGAATTCTAATAAAAAAGGGATTTTCGGACACAAATAGATAATAGCCAGATGATGTACGTATGTTGCAATTTAGTATACTTAACCTAAACACGCTAAAGAAAAGTGACACTGTCTTTGTAATTCATTCTGTGCTATGTTCTTCTCTATACATCCATGATTAGCAGTTACAAATTCTACCCTAAAGACTGACCTTCCCTGATCTAAATATTGCTGACTCAGCATATTACTTCTACTTCTTCTAGCATTCAGTTTAGATGACTCAACACCAGAATTAATAATTTTATCAAAAATTTGTTTAAAGAACAAAATTTTGATGCGTTTTTTCTCTAATAAATCAAAGCAGAACCTCTAACTGTAGAACACAAATGGAAAATAATACACTTTATCTGCTCAACTTGAAGGCTAAGTAATAACCAGGTGTCAGAAAAATCAGGCCTAAGTTAAATAAATTTTACCATCCTATAATTATTTTTTTCTGTATAGGGTTAAGATTTGTATTTTAAATGATACGTTACTAATTATAGTGTCATTTCAAAGAAAGTTTCCTAAGAAGCCTTTAGTAAATTTCTTCTAGGCTGGGTATGTATTTGGTTCCTATATCTCTTAGTATGCACTGTTCTAGAATTACGTATTTGGTGAATGTAAAGCCTAAACAAAGATAAGTATATGAAATTCACAATCTTTATCAAATAATTCAAAGTTTTCAACATTATCAGTAAATACACACCTGTATTCCTGATTGTCCTATTCTGTAGTCTGATCACAGCAAGTACAGGGATTTTCCAATTCTGTGGGGAAATAGTATATTTAGGACCCCTGGTGGTGCAGTGGTTAAGTGCTTGGCTGCTAACCAAAAAGTTGGTTGTTCGAATCCACCAGCTGCTCTGTAAGAGAACGATGTGGCAATCTGCTTCAGTAAAAATTACAGCCTTGGAAACTCTATGGGGCAATTCTACTCCGTCCTACAGGTTCACTATGAATTGGAATCGACTCGATGGCAATGGGTTATCCAGTGTATTGAAATTTAACTGCATGTATAATCACTATTAAGCAAAAACAAGTCAAATAGCATTATCGTATTCTAAATGGCAATTGAGCATTTTATTTAGTCTCAGTAGTAAAAACTAAACCTAAGAGAAGTGTGTCTAACATGACACAATTTCCAACATTCAAAGAACGACGTCAGTATAGAATTTTAAAAAGTAATTACACTAAGGCAGAAGCAGACTGTATGAACAGATGAAAAATCATTACTGCTATAACTGATCGAAGCACTAAGTGCAGACTCAAAGAACTTGAATCTTGGCCGAAGGAAAAGAAAGTAGACCTTTTATATGTTCTAATGCGATTCAGGATGTAAGCCGGTTATATTGTAAAGGGATAAAAACTTATATGATCCTTAGAAGAAACAGAAATAACCTGTAAGAAAAGATGGCGTTTCAGCCTTTTTACGAGCAGGGAGAACCGTTATTAGAGCTACATACTCTATGACTGTGGAGCCATCTCCTTTACAATGCTTCTACTGACCTCTGCAAGATAATTTTTTAAAAATACAATAAAAGATTGTATTGTACAATAAAAGTATTGTTTGTGGGTAAAAACACATTACTGCCTAAAGGAAACCCAATACTGGGATGTAACAGAGATCAGAACATTTTATTATTGTTTACTTAAGGTTGTAAGAAAAAAAAGGCGTTCTCATATTTACATTGTATTACTCAATTTCTGAAGATTCTGAGTCAATTAACCCAGAACTTTCAAAAGCTTTAATGATCGGTACTGTAGCAAACTGTGTATGCTACAGCACATCAATCTTACTTTCGGTAAACCTAGGGCTTTAAATCTGATGAACGTGACAGCAATCTCCATAACCTTAAAATCTAGGTGAAATAAACGTCCTTATGGTCCAATAACTTGTAAAATGCAACCAGTTACTAGACCAACATACTAGTGTACAATTTTAATAATTTCTAGCAGCAAAATACCTGGAATACCCACTAACAAATGTTTTCATCAGACTGTAGATTAATTTCTTTGGAGGAAATAATTTTAAAAAGTACCCTAAAGTATAGTTCAACTGCAGGCAAACATGCAAGACATCAAAGATCTTGTTTATCTTCACTTTTCCCAGTGGAATCAGGTGCAGCTGGAACCTTATTAGTTTCAACAAAAACAGACTCAAAGGCAGCTTCCTGTTCATCCAAAGAATCAGCAGCAGTGGTTCCTTTAAGTACTGTTGTGTTGGTAAATGATTGCTGTTGCTTGGAGATTTTATTCAGTTCCACTGTTTTTCTACCTCTTCTTTTGCCAAGAATTTTGACATAATTAGCAGGTATAAGTCCTGTTGTTTGACCATCAAGACTGGCCAGAAGCCAACCACGCACTTTGGGTTGTTGTTCTAATGAAAGAAAAGACAGTCTTATAACCTACTTTAGTATTAGTTGAAGAATACGAGATACAAAATTTCTCTGAAATATGTAATTAAGAGACGACACTTTTACGGCCTTTACTTTTTACTTACACTAATTGAAACTATCTGTTTTATTCCTGTCTCTAACAAATAAATCCTAAAAGTAAATCATTCTTTTCAACTCTAGTCCAGTAAACTATTTTCACTATAAGAAAAACACAAATATAATACCTAGAAGCCTAGTGAAAAAGATAGCCTGAGATGTATATAAATTTCTTGTTGAGGTTCTTTATTACTTCAGGATGACGGTTCCTAAAATATAATAAAGTTTCTAAATTAAACACTATTCAAGTAATAAAGAAAGCAATCAAGGACAGATAAGGATTCTTGGATGATGCTAAATAATCCCTTTGGTTTATTACATTTGTTATATTTAGTTTTCACTTCATGCTCTTCTGTGAAGATTATTAGAGTTTAGGGTTCAAGTGTTTCGCGTTCCTTTACAAGAGACACTATATAAACAAAATGGCTCCTTGTTATTGGAACAACCCTGTTGGGACATTCCTCCCTGACCTTCCCCGGATCTGGAAGCTCGAAATTGATACAAAAGAGAAATCCTACTACCTACCTCGGAGTTAACTAATAATGACCTAGATCCTTTGTTGCAGTTAGCAATATAAACATTCACAAATACTAAATACTAAAAGTTCACAAACGATTCCAATTTACTCATGATTTATTACCTTTGAGAGCTAAGTTTAGCATATCACCAGCACGGAAAGAAATTTCCTCTTCAGATATGGCAGCAAAATCATATTCTGCTCTAGCAACTACATGATCATCTTCACCACTTGCCCAGTTGGTGTTATCTATAAGCCAAATTAAGAACTAGGTTAGTAACATTTATAAAAAGGAAATGCAGATATTTCACTGGTCATGGTTAGTAAGCTGCATAAATTTTATCTGCCAAGAGAGAAGTTCCTCTCAGAAAGTAAATTCTTTAATTCAAAACCGAACCAGTTGCCGTTAAGTAGATTCTGACTTATGACAACCCCATGTGTGTCAGAGTAGAACCGTGCTCCACAGGGTTTTCAATTGACACTATGTAAAATCAACAATACGTTCACCAGGACATCTATTACGAACTTTTTCCTTCTCTTTCAGCTCCAAATTTCACCTCCTCTACTCTAAAAACCAGAGGTTGACAGACTTTTTCTAAAAGGGTAAATAACAAATATTCTAAGCTTTGTGGGCCAACAGGCAAAATAAAGGATATAGTGTAGTTAAAAGTGTAACAAGAGAAAAAATTTTTCCACAAAATTTTTATGGGCAAAATTCAAAATATAATAATTGAGTTCATTTTTTGTAATACAGGTCTACTACTGAGAATAATGGAATCTTTTTTGGGGGTTCAAAGGTAGTGTTTCCTATCTTCAAAATTGAGTGTAAATGTTCATCTGTTAATGCTGATTTGTAATGAGATTTCAGTTACTGCATCTTTGAAAATGTCTCTTCACACGAATGTAATGTTATGTGTTAGATGCCACTGAGTCGGTTCCGTCTCACAGTGACCCTATGTACAACTAAGAACGAAACACTGCCCGGTCCTGCGCCATCCTCACAATAGCTGCTCTGTCTGAGTCCACTGTTGCAGATGCTGTGCCAATCCGGACAGGTACTGCCGAATACTGGTATCAATCCATAGCACATGGTTTTAACTGAGCATATTCAGCTTGGAAGGTCTTCACAGAATTCTATTAAATTCTTCTCCTGACATTTGCTTTTTACCATGTCATTACATTGCAGATTAATCACTTTCAAGTGAAGATTAAGTGGAAGCTCCTCAATTGCTCAGTTAAATGGATTTTGAGAGATGGAAACTTTCTTTATACTTACATGGAGGTAAAAAAGAAAAAAAATCTGCTGTACTGTAGTTTGACCTCAGAAAATATACCTGCTGCAAATCTGTACAGAAATGGGGATCTCACTTCTCGTTTTAATTTCTGACAGCCTGGCAAGCATAGAAAGCAAACCAGCAAAACCTGATCTCCAAAGCCATTGCGTGTTTAATAATAGGGGTTGACGGTGGTTCCTCTTGCTCAGAACAATTTCAAACTTAACCACTGCTAAGCCATTGAACTGCTGGGTGGTAAGGCTGGTCAGGATATTCAGCTTCTACATTCATAGAACTGACAATGTTACATCCACGAGAGTGAATGAAGTTCACCTTTGACCCTACTGGTTCAATAACACACGACAGATTCAAGTATTTTCTGCCAAGTACCTATTGGTGAATAATACAATGAATAACCATAAACTTTAAACACTGTACGTTTTCACAAGCTCTGTAAACTGTGTCCAGCTAGGCCTTTTTTCTGCTCCACACGGTTTTACCCCCATCAGTTGTAACACGTTTCAGCAGATTCCACTTCAGGTTGTAATGAATTAGTGTTTTTTCAACCTCTTTGAAAACCTTTTTGTCTGTAGTTGTTCTACAGACTATTCATAGAGGCTAATTCTTCAGTCACTTCCAGTCTGTCACTGACTCCTCAAACAACTGAGCAGTACCAGTAATGTCTGTTGGGTAATCATGAGGCAAAGGAAACCATTAGAAATAATTTGCTTTGTTTTAAATTGATTAGTGATGCTGTTCCCAATGTCCTCAACTCTTTGAGCAACTGTTCTCACCAGAAGGTTAAGAGTCAATAAACCTGTTAATAGTCAAACAGGTTTAGTTCCTGGTTCTGCCTTATTAAACAAGTGACCTTGGGCAAGTGATTTCTCTGAACCTCAGCTTTTTTACTTGTAAAAAACTCTAACAGATAACTCCTATCTCTTAAAGTTGTTGTAAGAATTAAAGGGATAAAATACACAAAATACTTAGCAGTCTTTTTTTTTTTTCTTTTTAATTGTGATTTAAGTGAAAGTTTACAATTCAAGTTAGTCTCTCATATAAAAATTTATACATACATTGTTATGTGACCCTAGTTGCTCTCCCTATACTGTGACAGCACACTCCTCCCTCCCACCCCGATTTCCCGTGTCCATTCAATCAGCTCCTGACCCTCTCTACTTTCTCATCTCGTCTCCGGACAGGAGCTGTCCATTTAGTCTCATGAATCTACTTAAGCTAAGAAGCACACTCTTCACGAGTATCATTTTATGTCTTAATAGTCCAGTCTAATCTTCATCTGAAGAGTTGGCCTCGGGAATGGTTTTAGTTTTGGGCTAACAGAGAGTCCAGAGGCCATGTCTTCCAGGGTCCCTCCAGTCTCAGTCAAACCATTAAGTCTAGTCTTTTTACTAGAATTTGAGTTCTGCACCCTACTTTTCTCCTGCTCCATTAGGGACTCTCTGTTGTGTTCCCTGTCAGGGCGGTCACTGGTGGTACCTGGGCACCATCTAGTTCTTCTAGTCTCAGGCTGATGGAGTCTCTGGTTTATGTGGCCCTTTTGTCTCTTGGGCTAATATCTTCCTTGTGTCTTTGGTGGTCTTCATTCTCCTTTGCTCCAGGTGGGTTGGGACCAAATGATGCATCTTAAATGGCTGCTCGCTAGCTTTTAAGACCCCAGATGTCACTCACCGAAGTGGGATGCAGAACCTTTTCTTAATAAACTTTGTTATGCCAATTGACCTAGATGTCCCCTGAAACCATGGTCCCCAGACCCCTGCCCCTGCTACTCTGTCCCTCAAAGTGTTTGGTTGTATTCAGGAAATTTCTTAGCTTTTGGTTTAGTCCAGTTCCTAGCACAGTGTCTTGCATATAATAAATGCTCAATAAACCTTACTTCTCTCACCAACTGTCATCCCTTATACTCTTTCTGCCTCATTACAGTTACCTGTACACGTGTTTCACCCTCCCAAAAGTTTTGGAAATGGAGAGATTATGCCCTATATATCTGTCTATCCTCCACAGCATCAAGTTCAGGACCTAGTAAACAGTAGTTAGGTGACGTGTACTTTCAACTGAACGAACAATGAATAAATCAGCCTCTTTGACATATGATCCTCTTTCAGTTTTGAAATTCTCAACTGCAAATGTAACTGGATGAAAACATCATACACAAATGAAGAATGCTAACTTAACAAACCTGCTGCTGACGTCTGAGGCTGCGACATGGCTTCTAGCCCATGCGCTCACTCTTACCTGCTACTTCATCGCTCTGGGTGGACAGCAGTTTCCAGATGAGGTAAGGGCCACCGAGGATAACAGCAAAGAACAAGAATATTGGCCAGGACTTTGCTGAGTTAGCTGCTCTGTCCTCGGCACCAAGGCAAGCCACAGTGCCTTCACTCTCTGCCCACAGGTCCTCGTTCTCAGAGCCTCTTCTTAAACCTATCATCCACTGTAACCGTCTGTAAAGATACCTTATAGTCCTAACTAACGCAAAAGCTGAAAACACCTTTGTGAAGTGTATTTTTAATCGGGAGAAGTGATTTGCTACATCTAAGACGGCCCTGAAACTGTTGTAGACAGCTGAAAAGGTGGCATCCATCATCATGCTGACAGAGGCAAACGCATGCACAATGCTCTCGATGGACTGAAAGGCCCCTCTGCTGCTTTCTTCAGCTTGCTGGACAAACCTACTGGGCGGAAGATCATCGACACGGAAGCGGTTATACCCCAGCCCATTATAGCCATAACTGTAAGGGCTATAGCTTCCATAAAATGAATTTCCATAGGCACCATATCCAGAAGAAAATGAACTGTAAGCAGGTCTGAAAGTGTTCACGCTGCTGCTTCCTGTCTGCTGTGATGGCCTTGGAAGAATAGGTGGGGGCACTCTGGTAAGTGCTGGCTGTCCAGGTCTTGTCAATAAAGTAGGACCCAAATCAGCAGATCTAAAACCAAAACAGATTCAAAACAGTAAGTTAAGCACACAATAAATTCAATTCAAAGTAACTATTAAACAGCTCCTCCATACCACGTGCTATGACAGGTTCTACCGAAGATGTTTTGAGTGAGGAATAGTTTTAATCTCCAGAGGCTCACAATCTCAAGTGGTAAGAAAAAATGAACGATAAGAAAACATAGCTGACTGAACTCTGTCACATTCTTATTTTACTTATGCTGGCATTATTAGCAGTACCTTTAATCAGTGAGTTCTTTTTAAGATGCTCATCCATTTTCTCAGGGTTAGTTACAATTAGATATTTGTCCGTCCTTGCACCGAAATGATAGTATCTTAATTACCATAGTTTTACAATAGGTCTTAATATCCAGTAAAGCAAGTCCTCCCACAATGATTAGAGTTTTAAGTTCTACTCCCCCAAAAAAACAAAACCCTGTTGAGATTCTGTTTGGGATTACACTGAATCTGTAGGTTAATTTGAGGAGACCGGAAATCTTTATAATACTGAGTTTCAATCCATGAATATAACATATGCTCCATTTATTTAGGTCTTTTACAGATTTTTATCAACCATATTCTCTTAAATGACTTTAATGAGTCTTAATCTATAGAGAAGTAGGGTAGTAGTAGCGTCAGTATAGTCAATACCCGTCTAATTTCACGGGGGATAACGTGACCCAAGATCAGCCCAAGGCGATCCCTATGAGGTGGAGGTCAGACATACCTCCACCCTCCAACCTTTTTACCAATTCCGACACCAGCCATCCTCCCTATGGCACTCTCTACTTCTTTGCTGGTTCGATAATCCACTGCAATGGCTGCACAGAACTCACAGACCATACTTACATTTAAGTGGTTTATTAAGGAACAGGGTACAACTTGGGTTCAAGATCAATAGGCTACAACTCAGGAATCAACATCAGGAAGCGTACAGGCAAAGTCTCCCTTCTTCAGTGCAGGATAGCTCTCTCAGCTCCTCTGAACCCCGTGCACGGCTCCTCTCAGCCCGAGGGCAGGCTCCTCTCGCCTCCCTCATGACAGGTCCCTCTTAGCCCTGCCATCTGTCACTGCCAGCTCTGCCGCTGGGCCCCTTCTGGGTCCCTTGCTGTCTTCAGTGTTACAGTCCCTTACCAGCATTACAGCTCTTTTAGTAGGTTCGTTGCCTCCTCTCTCTGCTGCTTCTTTCTGCTTTCTTCCTGCTGCTTGCTTCTTGCTTCTTTCTGTTTGCATCACCTCTGTGGGGCTGGCTGCTTACATCTGAAAACTCCTGGTCAATTTCAAGGTATGGCCCACCCACCAAGGCTACAAACTGACCAATCCCTTCTCTGTAGGCCACAGATACTTCATGTGCAGACTAGGTATGGCTGGGCTACAACTTACCACATTTGCACAGTCTATTGACCAATCCCTGTGTCATGGATTGAACTGTATCCCCCCAAAATATCTGTCAACTTGGCTAGATCATGATTCTCCGTATTGTATGACTGTCTATCATTTTGTCATCTGATGTGATTTCCCTATGTGCTATAAGTCCTATTACTATGATGTAATAACATGGATTAACAGCAGTTATATTAATGAGGTCTACAAGATTAGATAGTGTCTTAAAAGTAATCTCTTTTGAGATATAAAACAGAGAAACAAGCAGAGAGACAGGGTGACCTCATACCACTAAGAAAGCAGTGCCAGGAGCAGAGCATGTCCTTTGGACCTGAGATTCCCGTGCTGAGATGTTCCCAGACCAAGGCAAGACTGATGCATCATAAGGACCTTCCTCCAGAGCTGACACAGAGAGAAAGCCTTCCCCTGGAGCTGGTGCCCTGAATTTGGACTTCTAGCCTACTCAACTGTGAGAGAATAAATTTTTCTTTGTTAAAGCCATCCACTTGTGCTACTTCTGTTATAGCAGCACTAGATGACTAAGACACCCTGCAAGGTGTACACCAATCACAGAGCAGGCTGTAGCCCACCGCCAGGCAGAAAGTACCAAACCAAGTTGTTCACAACCTACCCAGGAAACGTCAATCAACCTGGACAAAAGTAACAAAGCCTCTGGGGCAGAAAACTAGGGCAAAGGTAACTCTTCAGGGCTTAGAAGGGAAAATCTCTCAAGCTGTTTTTCCAAACAACCAAGGCAAAAGCCCACATAAAGAACTCATCTCACCACAGTATGTTTTATAGTTCACTGTGTGGAGATTGTGTTTTTTAGATTTATTCCTATATATTTGATATTTTTTGATGCTATTGTAAATGATGTCTTTCTATAATTTCACTTTGTTGCTATTATACAACAAATAATTTTTTAGTACAGTGAAGCCTGTGAGAGCTGGAACTCGACAGGACTGCCTTGTTTTTCCGGGTCTCCCAAGTTTTCTGCCTTTGACAGAGTGAAGTCTTACCACTTTTCTATCGCTCTCTATTAGTGGAAAATATTTGAGTTTTCCTTCCCTGACAGGTGTCTGCCTTACACAGGTTCCAGCTTTAACAAGTTCTATTGTACATGGTCCTTTTTTTTAAAATAAACAATCACATTAATTCTAATAATTCATCTTTAGGTTCTTTTGGATTTTCCAGAATCTTAAGGATTTGCCGTCATATTGTATGTGAATAATGATAGGTTTATTTCTTCCTTTTCAATTCCATTAAAGCACAGGTGGTCCTGACTTATGATGCACTCGAGTTACGATGAACTGCACTTATGACCATCTGGGTTTTTTTGGTACATCTCATTGTTAGTAATATCTACTACATACAGTGTTACAGTACGTAATTTGCTGATGTTATCATTCTCAGATGTTCACTGGCAGATGCTCAATGTTATGATTTACTGTTCAAAACACTGCCATGTTGCAGGCTATAGAAAAAAAAGAGGTACTTGGTCAGAACTGACTTAGAATGGGGTTGTGGGAACAGAACCCATTGTAAGTTGGTTTGTACTACACTGCCTGTACTGCACTGCCTAGGGTCTGCAGTGTAGCCTGGAGAATTATACCACTACTACTCAAACCATTTCAGAAC